AGATATTAGCATTTAAAAATTTGAAGCGTTTCAAAATGGCCGCTCTCTCTGTCAACTCCGACATTTCGCAATAGGGGTTTACTGAGGCAGTCGAGCATTTGCTTGAACGAAAGTAACATAAGGACAAATGTAATATAAAGGAATACTTGGATTTTCACGTTGTAGTAACGTAACAATTCTGTGTCAAACTAAATTCTTCTAAGTAAACGTCTTCTATAATTGGTTTTGGTTGATTCTCAAAGTAGAAAAAGAAAAGACTAAATGTGCAAATGAAATTCGATACCTAATATCTATGATTGCACCACAGAAAAGCAGCTCATTAATCATTGTTATCAGTAATAGTTTTTCAAGAAGGATATCAATGAATACAGTAAGTATAAAACTTACTCACTGTTTTTCCCATGCACACTTGTGCCATATTAAACTAGTGCTAATTGTAACGGGGACCGTTACAGATGTTCCCCAAACGCTCCCCAACTCCCTTTTGGTGCCATATTCCCTGTAGGCTTCATTAATTAAGACAAACTCTATGCATTTGAGACTTTAACAACGTTTACACAGAAGTGTACCAAGTTCATTCAAATTTTTAGCATTGCACGCCACGCGTGCGCATGTGAATTCATGTGCGTAATGACCATATCATCTTGTCTACACAATCTATATATTTTGATATACTAAATATTAAAGTATTTCATCCAAAAGTATTAAAAAATACGCTTATTCAAGTGTATTTTTGATTTTGCTCATTTCAGGTGCACGCACGTGCATACATGAGCATGGTGACCATACTTACTTGTAGATGTCCATTACATCTATCTATGTTCTAAATCCCATTCTGTTTGGTTGAAAACTAAGGAAGTTATAGCTGTTTAAAGTTTCTGCCAATCAGATTGCAGCGCACGCACACACACGTGTATGCATGTGCATGGTGACCATACCTTCTTGTAGTAGTCCATTATATCTATCTATGTTCCAATTCCCATCCTGTTTGGTTGGAAACCAAGGGAGTTATAGCTATTTAAAGTTTAAGCCAATCAGATTGCAGCGCACGTGCATGCACGTGTTTTCATGATAATTGCTATATATCATGCTGTAGGATATCCTAATGCATGGCCATGTTCAAAATTTCAAAGGATTTCGTCAAAAAACAAGAAAGATATTGAGACTTTAGTTTCAGCCAATCAGAGCGAAGCGCACGTGCATGCGCGTGAGATCTTGCTTTTTGACCATGTCATATTGTCTATGCTACTAATATATCCTTATATTATAAGTTTCAAAGCATTTAATCAAAAATTTAAAAAGTTACGCCTATATCAATTAAATCGGTCATTTCACGTGTTGCACGTGCACGCTCTTGCAAGCACGTGCGCGCAAAATGACCTTCGTTCCGCAAATCTACATAACATGCCTACTGACCCTAAAAAGGTTTTACCTAAGTCGGATGTGTAGTTTACAAGATCACTCCCGGACAAAAAAGTACCCAGGAAGAAGAAGAAGAAAAAAAATAATAATAATAATAAGAAACAGAGTAAAAACAATATGTTCCCCAACTTCGTTTGGGGAACATAACTAATAAAAAAGACAAAATAAGATAACCTTATTTTTTTAAAGATCGCTTAATAGAGTTTATATTAACATTATTGTCTCAAAGATTTTATTCAAGTTATTGAGCACAAACAATATCCAATTCCTTGACCGTCGTAAGGCGAGTCATTTTTTTTTTTTTGCGAAACATTTAAATCTCTTCATGAATGAACTAATCGGGATAGTTCACTTTAGCGAGTTCACTTTAAAATGAAATTTTAAAAAAGTTAAAATTCATAGCCGTTTCACTGTTTTAGTGTTACTTCCTTATATACTAAATGGAGTTTGTGAAATGTATTAAATATACTTTCTAATCATCAAGTTTTATGCTAAATGAACAGTTTCTTAATTTCATTAAAGCTATCACACCTATTAAATAGAACATTCCAAGGAAAAGGCGCGAAGATTAACTCGTGGCGTTTGGCGCGAATTTATGAATAGTGACTAGCTTTCATAATTCTAAGACAAAAGCACTGTTATACAGAGGTATATACAAGAAGATTTAGAGCAGAGGTCCCGACAGATTACGTAATATTTAGCGCGTTGGATTTTCATGCTGCCGACTTGGATTCAATCCCCCTTGCGTGTAATATTTTTTTTCACCTTTTCATCTAGATTTTACAAAGGTTTTTTTTCGGAATCAGACGGAAGACCTCTCGTTGCTAGCAACGAGATCGTTTCTAGTTAAGGTCTTCCGTCTTCAGCGGAAGACCTTCTTGTTATTCTTAGGTTTCTTTTTCACTTTTATTATTATTGTTTTTTTTTCTTACCGATTTTGTGCACGCGATTTCTCAAAAACGGCTCGATGGATTTCCGTGAAACTTTCAGGACTTATGTTACATCACTTGAACCTTATGCGTTTTTTTCTGTTTTGATGACGTCACTTCCGGTCCGGAGTTATCGGCACTTTAATGGTTTTTTAAGGGTCAGTTTGTCCGCACGATTTCTCCTAAACGGCTTGAGATAGACACATGATACTTTCAGGTATGGTAGACCTATGTCTGTAGATTTGCGGAATGTATTTCATTTTTATCGGAAATGCCGCACGTCGGCGCTCGCTGTGGCCCGAAAATAGACGTATCGCGAATTTCAAAATTTTTAACACCTTTTCTACAATAGCTTTTTACCTGGAAATATTTTGTTAAAACATATAGAACAAAAGAAGTGTAGAATTCCAAGATCTTTCAAATCATATATTGTAAAAAGGGCTGGCCCCTAAAATTAAGGGCCCAGAGGGGCAGAAAGTTTTTTCTTTATATCTCAAAAAGTATTGAGAATTTGTAATACGTCAAAGAAGCAAAGTTGTTCAAAATATCAAGCTTAATCTTTTGAAGTCGTCAAAATACGTCCGGCGTCGTCACTTCCGGCCAAACCGGAAGTAGTCGAAAACGCGTATTTTTGCCGTTTTTGACAAGTTTTTGGGTAACATATGTCTCTTGGAGCATAAAAATTAATTTTTCGTCCGTCGTTGTCACTTCCGGTCAAACCGGAAGTAGCCAAAAATAGCTTATTTTTGCATTAATTAACATGGCTTTAGAGGAGTCTAACCATTTTTAGGCGTTATTTCTCATTTTTGTTAAAAATGAAAGCTACTTCCGGTCAAACAGGACGGAAGACCTACTCGTTGCTTTGCAACGAGCTTTGCTCTAGTTATTATTATTTTTCTTCTTCTTCCTGGGTACTTTTTTGTCCGGGAATGATCTTGTAAACTGTTCGTCCGAGGTAGGTAAAACCTTTTTAGGGTAAGTAGACATGTTATGCAGATTTGCGGAATCAAGGTCATTTTGCGCGCACGTGCTTGCAAGAGCGCGCACGTGCAACATTTGAAATAACCAATATAATAGATATAGTCGGAACTTTTCTATTTTTGATAAAATGCTTTGAAACTCATAATGTGTGGATACATTAGTAGTATAGACAAGATGGCATGGTCAAAATAGCAAGATCTCACGCGCATGCACGTGCGCTTTGCTCTGATTGGCTGAAACTAAAGTCTCAATATCTTTCTTGTTTCTTGTCATAGTCTTTTGAAATTTTGAACATGGTCCTACATTATGAAGATCTACAGCATAATATATTAAAATTTTAATAAAAGCATGCGCATGCGCGCGTGCTGAAATCTGATTGGCTAAAACTTTAAATGGCTATATCTCGTTTGTTTTTTGACGAAATGCTTTGAAATTTTAAACATAGTCATGCATTACGATATCCTAACATATGATATAGAAAATATTCATGAAATCACGCGCATGCACGTGTGCTGCAATCTGATTGGCTGAAACTTCAAATGGCTATAACTCTCTTGTTTTTCAACCAAACAGGATGGGATTTAGAACTTGGATAAATATAAGGGACTCCTACAAGAAGGTGTAGTCATTATGCACGTGCGTGCACGTGAAATGAGTAAAATAAAAAATACACTCGAATGAGTGCATTTTTTAATACTTTTGGATTAAATGCTTTGATATTATTAAAATTTTAGATAGTGTAGACAAGATAATATGGTCGTTACGCACATGAACACGCGTGCAATGCCTATTTTTTAAAATATATTTTGTATTTTTTTTGGAAGACCTTGATTAAGTCTAAATTCCATAAAGTATTTCTTATTTAATAGAGATAACAGGGAATATGGCACCAAAAGGGAGTTGGGGAGCGTTTGGGGAACATCTGTAACGGTCCCCGTTACAATTAGCACTAGTTGTTTTTGCAATGATGGTTTTCACTTAAATTTTTGCATTTTTTAAAAGGAATTTTTCTTGATTTTTTTTTCTAAGTCTTGTTATCTAGTGATATTTTCTATCTGTTAATCATTGATATATTTAAATCAGCTCAATATTTACTAAAGAACAAAAGAGAGGTGTCCACTACATTGCCTTTGGTTCCACTTTTCGGGGCTCATAGAAAAAAAGACCGTAAACTTTACAATTTTCTTTACTCAAACGCTTCATACTACAATGACAAAACCAAAGTGTTTTTAATTCAAGAAACCAAATATACTTTTAAACAATTTCGACAGGAAAGTCCATACGTTTAACATCTAAAGTACACTCGTTTTAAGCTAAAAGAAAGAACTGTGAAATCTCAAGACCGTCTCGGATTTTAAGTGTTTTATAACTTGAGACAGTGTATGTTTTTATCTGTGCTCTATTTTCCCACATCATTCTTTCTCGAGAAAACCCTTCTACAATTTTCACATTGTGCTACAAACACACTATTAATGTTCAGCCAATTCTCAGTTACTCTTGTTCATCAGATGTAACAATTAATTCCAGCACTTTTTCAATTGGCTGAGAATTGCAATATCCTTTTAATGACCCACTCTTGAATACAAGTTTGATATAAAACCTGTATTTAGTGCTTATAGAATACTATAGAAAATGTGATCATGAAATCCACTATTATCATTACGATTGTGTTCGTCACTATGGTCCATACGAAGGCCCAGTCTCCCCTCAAAGACAACAACTCTACAGGGCTGGATCTTAATTCAATAAACGCCGAAAACGTGGACATTGTTAGACAACTTCTGAACCAGGAAACCATTATTAGGATGACCTTAGTGAAAAATGTCCATACTTTGATGAAAGACATGCTGAGTTTACAGGAAAAACTCGCTGAGGCTGAAGTTGAAATCTCCTCCCTGAAGAAATCGACTGATAGCGAACTTACCGATTTGAAAAACGAAGTGATGCTGCTGAAACTCGAAAATGGTTTGCTGAGAAATATAACAAATGTCCACGAAGAAGAGCTTGAAAATTTGAATATCAAGCTGGAAAACGTTTCGAATACACTGGCAGACATTAAAATTGAGGTAAGGTTTTCGTCGCTGACACTTCTAAATCTAAACACACGTACGTTTGAAATGGAAAAGGAAATAGAGGAAGTGGCTAGGTCTGTAGGAAACGTCAAGGTAGAATTAACAGACATAGACCAAAAGAAATCAGCTGCAATCTCCATACTCAAAAAAAAAAGGAGCTTCTATCTGGTAAGTATTCTTATTCCAGCTTTTTAAACAGTAAGGACATTTTATGGAGCCCCTTAACACAGGAAATCAGAAAAATAATTTCGTAAAAATTATCGAGGTTTTTTTTGAATAAACTTCTTTTTGTTTTATTCTGTATTTCATTATTTATTATCCATTTATTTATTTACATGCATTTATATACATTTTATGCACTGTATATTTAAGCATTGAATTCATATTTTTGGCTGTCTTCGGTCCTATAACACACCTGGCCGTGCCGACAAATTGAATACCGCGCGTTAGCGCGGTATGATAAATTTGTCGCACGGCCAGGTGTGTTATAGGACCGAAGACAGCCAAAAATATGAATTCAATGCTTATATTTACATTCTCTAATTTTCCTTCTTCATAATTGCTTATTTCGTTAATCTTTAATGTGAATTTAGCACCCTTCAAAACTGACGTGGTTAATAGACGTAAGAGCCGTTTATGACGTCAGATGACGTTGCAAAGTTAAATAACGCAAACAAACATTGCGAGGAAAAAAAGTGAAAAATTAATTTTAAACGCACATTTGTAGTATTTTTACGTTAATATAACAGGATTATAGTTTTAATTAAATTGAGTCAAAACATTGTACATTTTGTTGTTCCTAGATTATAGAAAATGCATGTACTTCCAGCTGTGTATTCTAACGCGCGGTGACAAGGTTTCGCGTGTGTTATAGAAATTTGAATGTCGTGGATTTCTAATGAATTTCAAAAGGAAAAATATACGGAATGTAAATATTAAATGATTAAATGAAAACTATTTTTTTTACACATTTTTATATACATGTATATATTTCATATGTTTTAGTGAATGTGAACAGCTCGATGGACAATTTTCAGTCTGCCCTGAGGTTGTCAGAGATGGAACAGTTAAAGTTGTCTGCCGCTGTATCGTCCTTGGAACTGTTGAGAGCGAACTTAACAAACCATGATCATGGTACTCATTATTTAAATGCATGTAATGCTGATTAGGATTTAAATTTTCCTTATCTATGATCTAATCAATTATCATCATAAAATAATCTGAGATTTATTACATTTTGATGTTTCTATTTCTAAGATCAAGCTACGAAAGTGGCATTTACTGCGGGTGTTACCTCGAGCAACAAAAGTTGGAGAAGTGGAGTTTTGGTTTTCGATAAAGTCATCTTTAGCATTGGAAGCGGATATAACCCCAGTACGGGAGTTTTTACAGCGCCGATAGAAGGAAACTATGTCTTTTATGTCAGTGCTATGGAGTTTTCTAACCATTATCTCGGAGTCTTTATCGATAAAAATGGAAAACATCAGGTGAAATTAATTGGCGACTCTAGTGCTCAATTCCAGACGGGTACAAACATGGTGATATTAAGTCTTAACCGGGGAGATGCTGTGTGGGTCAATCATAACTCCAAAGGCGGTGTCGGTTATTATAGTGAATCAATTCCAGTTACAACCTTCTCTGGATTTCTCATTTAAAGTGCACTATTTCTATCAGCAATTTATTATTTTCTTATAGCTAGATAGATATTTGTCTTATTCAGTTTTTATTTACATTTATTTAGAAGCAACTTCTATTTGCGATTTGATTATAAATATTGTCAGTTTTAACGGTCACGTTTGACGGCGAATGTGACCGGTCGGCAGGAGATGCTCACTCCTCCATAGTATCTGATCCCACCTCTGATTTTTAGAGGTCCGTGTTTGCTCTGCTCTCATTTTGTACTGTTTTATGTACTTGTTCTTTATCTCTATATATTTCATCTGGTTTTCATAAAGTTGCCGTGAATCCCAACTAGAGTCAAAAGTCGATAAACAATACAAAATAGGAGCAGAGCAAACACGGATCCCTAAAACATCACATGTGGGATCAGGTGCCATGGAGGAGTAAGCATCCCCTGCTGACCGGTCACACCCGCCGTGTGCTTCTTGTCATGATCGGGAAATAACGGAAAAAATCCGTGGTCAATTCAGTGTTTAACTAATGGACTAACAATTAGTATGAAAAAAAAATAAGTCAGCATTTGACTCAATGATAAATTGTATTTGCTGACAAGGTCATTGTATCGACCAAAAAACTTATGAAATGATGACTTTAAACCAGACTGCTGAAATTCTTGTTTCGTCAACTTGTTTGTCAATAATTTACCTCGTCTAAGAAATTGTTCATGCGTATCGTATCAACTGAGAGACAAACTCTATAGCAGTTGATGAAGGTATATTGGCTGCATAAGTAAAGAAAGTTGACTATAGAAAAGATAAATTCATCCCTTTTAACAAAGAGCTTGGTTGTAAGATTAATATTAAAGCTGAAATGAATTCTTAAAAACGCAACATTTTCATCTATGTACGACTTGTTTCATACCAACTATAGCCGTATTCCGCCATATTTCTTTCAGATACCTTGTCTACTTGTAACGATATATACCCCAATGCCCTCGTTACACTTGAATGATTTTTTGGCTTGGGTATCGACTTGTGCACATCTCCGATGGTAAAGCATATGAGAACACATGAGGTGATCAAGACATTTCAAAACCAAAATAAACAACATATAATAATCATATTTCTGAATGATTATTGATTTGAATCAAAAGAAAAAAATGCAAGTTTGGAAGAGAAATTTAGATGCATGAGTACGTATTTTTACAGTGCGCCAATTTATGCAGAATAAACTTGAAATAAAAAGCAGTAAAATCTGCAAACACATTTTGAAATTATATCATTTGAATGGAACAAAACAACCAACGTCTTTGATTTGCAGGTCCTATGCAATTGATGCATATCGAGAAAACGCCTCGAACGCTGTAAACAGGTAAACGTACCCATGGCCATACCTGGTAATAAGGTTACTGCATCAGTTCGAAGATGTGCAAAGGTCAAGTGATATACACCCTGAATTCCATTTATTGAAATATGCATCACAAAAAAGAAATAAACTCCATAAAAGCTCAATAGTAAACACACTGTCATTACTCCGTACAGACTAGCACGTCGATACACTTAGTCTGTGCTGATCAGATTTTGGTCAGGGAAAATATCACAAGTGGAAAGAGAAGTTATTTGGTATTTGCACGGCTGAAAAGGGGGGGGGGGGGTTAAAGTATTACAACTGCTGTTCATAAGCTATAATTGTAAATTGTCTGTCTACATGTAGTTCTAATATACATTCTATACAAAGTCATGTATATAGTCTGCAGTTGGTTTGCGTCGCAAAATTCATTTGTCAATTATAACTGATTATTTTTGTACTAATCTCTAATCTAAACCAAGTAATTTGATGTACGGTAATTATTTACTTCAAATCTTAAAAGCAGTTAATCAGAATATAAATTTTTATATGTATATCTATACGTTCTTAAACACACACACACGTGGAAAAAGGACATCCCCTGTTCAGACTGACATTTAGGCATTTGAATTTTTAGGCGGTAGGGGGGGGGGTCATGCAAAAATAATTGACATGACCGTTATTTATATATTCTTGGAAGACAGACATTTCTGCCGAATTCAATTTTGAGATTTTTTAAAAATGTGTCACTCCGACCACAAAGTATAGCTATGTGCATTTTGAGGAATGTAACTGTTTTATAATTACAGTGAAACCTGTCTAATCCGACATGCACTAGGAGACAAATTTTGTGTCGGAATTGACAGTGTGTCTGATTGCACAGTGTAAAATACAAGGAAAATACTAAAATGGGGAAGGAATTTAACGTCGGAATTCGCAGTGTGTCGGATTATGCAGGTGTCGGATTAGACAGTTTTCACTGTATGTTCTTACAGGAAGTCTTTCGAGATTTCAGTATCCCTGCCTGATAGTCTAGCTATTTTTTTTATTTAAGGAATGAATTTAATAGCTACCCATTTTATACGGTATAAACTGGGTTGGGGCAGTTTACGCTTTATAAACCGCTTCAAAAACAAGAGGCCCAGGGGCCACAGCGCTCACCTGAGCACATCAGGCTTGAATTTACCCCCCCCCCCCCTCCAGGCGTTCATCATTTGAACAAACTAGAATCTACACTACCTGAGGATGATTCCATATAAATATCACTAATCATAGCTTTGAAGTACTTGAAAAGAAGATTTTAAAAGGTTTCCCTATATATCCCTATGTAAAACTTGCCATTTTGGCCCCACCCTTGCCCCGGGGGTCATGATTTGAACAAACTTGAATCTACACTACATGAGGATGACTCCACATGAGTTTCATCTTTCCTGGCCCAGTGGTTGTGGAGAAGAAGATTTTTAAAGATTTTTCATATATATTCCTATGTAAAACTTGGGTCGGCCATTTTGGCCCCATCCTTGCCCCGGGGGTCCTGATTTGAACAAACTTGAATCTACACTACCTGAGGATGACTCCACATGAGTTTCATCTTTCCTGGCCCAGTGGTTGTGGAGAAGAAGATTTTTAAAGATTTTTCCTATATATTCCTATGTAAAACTTGGGTCGGCCATTATGGCCCCACCCTAGCCCCGGGGGTCCTGATTTGAACAAGCTTGAATCTACACTACCTGAGGATGACTCCACATGAGTTTCATCTTTCCTGGCCAAGTGGTTGTGGAGAAGAAGATTTTTAAAGATTATTCCTATATATTCCTATGCAAAACTTGGGTCAGCCATTCTGGCCCCACCCTTGCCCCGGGGGTCATGATTTGAACAAACTTGAATCTACATTACCTGAGGATGACTCCACATGAGTTTCATCTTTCCTGGCCCAGTGGTTGTGGAGAAGAAGATTTTTAAAGATTTTTCATATATATTCCTATGTAAAACTTGGGTCAGCCATTTTGGCCCCACCCTTGCCCCGGGGGTCATGATTTGAATAAACTTGAATTTACACTACCTAAGGATGCTTTCACATGAGTTTCATCTTTCCTGGCCCAGCGGTTCTGGAGAAGAAGATTTTTTAAAAATGCCATTAATTTTTAACAAATTCATGATTATCTCCCCTTGGAAAAGGGCGTGGCCCTTCATTTGAACAAACTTGAATCCCCTTTACCCAAAGATACTTTGTGCCAAGTTTGGTTGGAATTGGCCCAGTGGTTCTTGAGAAGAAGATGAAAATGTGAAAAGTTTACGACGACGACAACAACGACAACGACAACGACAGACAACGGACAAATTTTGATCAGAAAAGCTCACTTGAGCCTTCGGCTCAGGTGAGCTAAAAAGCGTAAACTGTAGCTATTAAATTCATCGCTTATAATTCAATTTTCATTCATTTGATGTATGAAAAAAAGATAATTGTTCTAACAAAATGACTTCAATTTGTACAAAATTTGAATGTAACGTCAGGCGGATTGATACGCTTTTGACGAAAGTCTGTGTGACGTACGCAACCCATTCTCTAACCAGAGTTGTCTTCCGCTACGCTCACTACACCTCTGTCAACGCTCGTTGTACAAGATTCTTGTACAAATTTTAAACGGTGAAAATTTGAAGTTATAATAGTGATTAATTGTTGTAATTATTGATAAAGATGATAATTCATCATTTATTTCAAACATATATTCCCTCAAAACGACTTATTTTCAAAGTTTTAAGGGAACTATTTTGCGGAGTAAAAATTAAAATCTTAATTAAAAAATCCTTTTAAGGTGTAAAAAATTAAAATAAATATTGTTTTCCGATAAGAAATATAATTATAAACGACTATTAATACAATTTTTAATCATTTACAATTTTTCCAAGAATCTTGTAAAACAAGCGTTGACAGAGGTGTATGTGGGAGCGTAGCGGGAACGACAACTCTGGATAGAGAATGGTACGCAACCCATTTCATACGATATGAAGTAATTTTTTTATCCAATCAAATACAACGTTACAACCAGAATTAAATTATATTGAAATAATATCTGTAGGAGTATTTGGGAGATAATTTTAAAAGCTAGGGTAGGGATACTTGACACTGGTTGAATACGGATAATTTATAATTACTCTTTTATATATTGAACTTTCTCTCTCTCTCTCTCTCTCTCTCTCTCTCTCTCTCTCTCTCTCTCTCTCTCTCTCTCTCTCTCTAACCATCCGTTAGAGCAATAATAGGGTATAAAATCTTACGCACTTTTATGAAGCCTTGGGACAGATCAAGGATTTTTTTCAGGCGGGATGTCGAAACTTCAGAAATTGAATAATAATTTTACCTTGGACAAGAAATTAACCCAAACGCCCAAATTGAAAGAGAAACTAGAGGCATTGTGAGCAATGAGCTCACTAAATGAAACCCCTCCTCCCATATGGTTATAATGGCAAAGTCCATATTTTGCTGTTGTCGCTAAACCCAAAATACGTGTCGGATCAAAAAGTAAAATAGGAGGTGCACAATGGTAATATGTAATAAAGTTAAGATTCTGTGAAAGTTTCATAAAATTTCACTAAGTCAAGTGGTATAAGAGGATTTGCGGATAAGAGATGGGTACCCCAAAGCGTAACAGACAGACGGACGGACATAACGATTACTATAAACCCTCCCACTTTTCAAGCGGGGGATATAATAAACGTGAAATATACATCACAGGAATGGGAACATTGGGAACTTTCTCAAATACCTTCTCAAACGAACCTGGACCTGGACAATAGACAAGAGAGTTTTTAAAAAGCTAATTGTAGGCAGAATGTGGAATTATCACGGGGAGTTTGCTCTCTCTTCCTATATGCTTTCTCTAATAATCATTAATTATTTATCTTTAGAAATTTTATTTACATTAAATTCTATTTCCATAATCATTGTACCACAGAATCAAACTCGTTTATTATACACACGCAACAGTTGCGTGAGGTATAATGTTTTTGACCCGTCAGTCAGTCCTTTTTTTTTTTTTTTTTTTTTTTTTTTTTTTTTTTTTTACACCACTGAACAGAGTTTTGTCCAACTTTGCAGATATTTATAGGAGACAATGTGTGTGTAGATTTGCACATCACCAGGAAATTCCGAATTCTTTATTTTTTTTCTGGGAATTTCAGTACTTCGACTTTTGGAGGAACGTGGGGTATGTGAACTTGCTCACTTTTTTTTTTCATTGCGCATAAAATTATAAATAAATTTAAAGTGTCCGATGAATGGTTAATTTGTGTCCAATGTACGGAGAAATGAACATACTAGTGAAAACCAGCTCTAAAAAGAATTACACGAACATTGAAGTGAAATTTCTTTAAAATTTATGTAAAATTACAAATCCTTGACTTTATTTACCAAAGTCTGACTCGTTCCGTTGAAGTCGAATTTTAAGAACGATAACTCTAAAAATCGTAAAATCATAAATTTCTGGCTATTCCCCTTTCATGATGTAAAATATGACGTAACTTCAAGGCCATTCTCGGGGTATTTTTATCACAACATGATAATAACAATCGGTAATGGTATCATCAAAAAATTTAAATCTTCAGCTTCTAGACAGAAACAAATAAATACACGGAACTCTTAAGTTGAAAGAGAAATTATTGTCTAAAGTTGTCCGAAGCAAGGACGTCGCGCACGGTCCTGGTGATACTTAACGTTACGCTTATAACGTCACAAAAACGTAAAATAATGCAACAAGTGCAACGTTATGGGTCATTCTCAAAAAATGTCCAGATTTCAGTGATACAAGTTTTCTGGTAAATATTTTAATAAAATGAAAACTTTTTTGTGCTCATGAACTTAACAATGATCTAAAATTAAGAGAACAGATTTAAAGTACGATTAAAACTTGATATAAATACTGAAAAAATCCTTCAACATGAGTTAAATTAAAGAAAATTGCTTGTGATTTCGCCGAGGGTGTATTTTCAACCCTCCTTATTGAGACAGTAAATATAGTTTGGGAGCATAAAATACCTTTAATGTATTGTAAATACTTAACATTGTTTAAAAACATGCTAAAAGGTGACTGAAAAAAGTAAGAATATAATTTTTTAAGCAATAAACGTTAAAAAATAAAACTTTGTGATTTTCGCCGTGTCCTTGGAGTAACCAAGACATAAAAGTTATCTGTAACAGTTATTTTTCCTGAAGGAACTCTTCAGCATCAGCCGCCTTCTAAAGATATTGTACCCGCCAAAATATAAAAAGACACAAAACGTGTGTGTTTAACCCCGTAGACACAATATTTGGTTTCAGTTGAGTTTGGTTGAGAGAGTAATTTATTTTTAGGTCCTTGGAGTTACTTAAATAATGTGAAGATAAATTAATATATAATGTTTGTGATGCACTGAGCGACTTTGAAGTGAAATACACATGATGTAGGAGTTGTGCTCTATCTTTTTAATGCAGCCATTGCTTTTATACTTGTAACTTTTGATATAGTAATTCCCTGGCGTTACTGTCCATTATGTTACTGTAGGAAATGTACATGGGGGTGGGATTATAGCTTATTTACGTTCAGATATTGCAGGGGATAGGAAAAAGCAACTTGAATTTGAAATTTTAGAATCAATAGGCCTGGAAATAACAGTTGATTGTCAAAAATGGTTTTTATCTGGTGTATACAAACCACCAAATGTTCACAATTCTACTTTTTACGATGATTTTTGCAAAACGGCGGACAAAGTAATTACAAAATACGATAACATTATGTTTATAGGAGATATGAATTTTGATCTGCTAGATAAGGATAAAGGCGCCCCTTTGCTAGACATCTGTGATATTTTTGATTTTACCAATCTAGTTAAAGGCCCGACTTGCTTCACCAGAATAGCTAAACCAAGTCTGCTTGATGTTTGTTTGACTAAAGATGATACCAAAATTAACAAGATATGCAACTTTAGCTGTGGCCTCAGTGATGTCCATAATTTTATAGGTGTTCAATTTAAATGCAACATCAAACAATCAGATAGCAAATGGAAGAGGTGCCGTACCTTTAAAAATTTCGATGAAGAATCTTTTATATCAGATCTTGCGCAGGTGGATTTCTATTATGAGGACCATAATGATATCAACTTAGCATTTTCTGATTTTAACAACAAGTTTGCAACCATTATAGACAAGCATGCGCCAATGAAAATGAGAAAAATAAGACCCAATCAGGTTCCATGCATGAACAAAGAACTACGCAAAGCTATCTATAACAAAAAAATGCTACACAACAAATACCAAACTTGTAGGTCAAGTAAGAACTGGGAAGCCTATAGAGTTCAAAGGAACTATGTTACAAAGTTAAAGAATAAATCAGTTAATAATTACTTTTTGGAAAGATGTACAGGTGGTCCGAAATCTAAGGACTTCTGGCCCACTATTAAACCTTTTTTAACAAACAAGGGCAGTTGTGCACAGAAAGATACAGTCTTGTTAGAAAATGATGTGATTGAAACTGACCAATCCAAAATACCAGGAATCTTCAACGACTTCTTTGTTAATGTGGCCAAAAATATAGGAAATTCAAATTTAAGCACTGATGATAATCACCCAAGTGTTAAAGCAATTAGGGAAAACTTGCCACAACTCAGTGATCAATCTTTCCAATTTAAACCTATTGATGAAGAATTTATAAGTAAACAAATTAGTAAGATCAATACCAGAAAAGCTACGGGTATAGACGGGATTTCCCCAAAGATACTACATTACGCGAAGCCTGTTATTATCAGTCCCTTGACCAAACTGGTAAATATGTCGCTGTCATCCTCAGTTTTCCCAGATTCCCTTAAAATAGCCCAAGTAGTCCCTATTCACAAAAAGAACAGTGTCTTAGATAAGGGAAACTATAGACCAGTTAGCGTCCTCCCAGCTCTTTCCAAGGTTTTTGAAAATGCAATTAACACCCAAATATCGAACTATTTTGAGAAAATTTTTAACCCTTATTTAGCGGCATTTAGATCAGGGTATGGCTGCCAATCGACCTTATTAAGAATCACCGAGGATTGGAAGAGAGCTCTTGATGAAAATAAATATGTTGCTGCTATTTTAATGGACTTATCCAAGGCATTTGACTGCCTCCCTCATGATCTTGTTCTGCTCAAACTAAAATCTTATGGTCTCTCTCCACCTGCGGTAGATCTGATAAAGAACTATTTATCTTGCAGAAAACAGTGTGTCAAAATTAGTCAAAATATAAGCACCTTGTTGGATATCTTTAAAGGTGTACCTCAAGGATCAATTCTTGGGCCAGTCATTTTTAATATTTTCATTAATGATATTTTTTATTTTGTAAAAAATTCAGATTTGTACAATTATGCTGATGATAATACCTTATCCAAATCTGATCCTATCTTACAAAATGTTATTACTACTCTTGAAAAGGAAAGTGGCACTCTCATCGATTGGTTTTCAGCTAATAAAATGCAGGCAAACCCAGAAAAATTTCAAGCAATAGCACTGGGGAAAAAGACGCATGATAAAAACATTACTTTAAACTTGAAAGGTACAACTCTTGCCTGTGAGGATGAAGTGAAACTGCTTGGTGTTACTTTTGATTTTAACTTAAACTTCAATTCTCATATATCAAATATTTGTAAAAAAGCAGCTCGACAATTAAATGTGTTAAAACGTGTCGGGAAACATCTCTGTAAACTGGGTAAACTTACCATCTATCACTCCTTTATAATGTCCAACTTTAGTTATTGTCCTCTGGTATGGCATTTTAGCAGTGAACAAAATTGCCAAAAAATAGAAAAAATTCAAGAGCGAGCACTAAGATTCATATATAATGACTACACAAGCAGTTATGACCAGCTCCTAGAAAAATCAAACCTCCCCTCACTGAAAATCAGGCGTATGAGAGCCATGGCCCTTGAAGTTTTCAAAATTATAAACAATCAATGCCCACTGTTCCTGCAAGATTTAGTTCAACAGCGAAATTCAACATACAATTTTAGATATCAAAAGACCCTGGAATTACCTAGGCCAAGAACCACTAGGTATGGAAAACAGTCATTCAGCTATGCAGCTGCTACGCTGTGGAATTCTCTACCAAATCATACTAGGGAACTTTCCACCCTCAGCCAATTTAAAACTTTCATAGAGACATGGACGGGGGAAAAATGCAAATGCAGTTCCTACAGAAACCACGGCGTGGGGCTGCATAGCTGATGAGACAATGTTTAGAAACAGTTGAATTTTCATTTATTTTTGAAATCTTTCTTTTTCTCTAATGATATCACCTATCTCATTTTATTTCATTGTTTTCTAGTTTTTTTTTTTTGTTTTTGTTTTTTTTTTTCCCTTTAACCTCACAATATGCATATCTTGCCTATGTAGGTAGGGACTGACCCAATCACTAGGCAGGATGTGTACTGATGAGGAACATAAATTACTTAAAAATTATTATTATTAGTATTATTTATTTTTATTTTTCATTCTTTCCTTCCTTCTCAATTTGGTTTAGCTATGTCTGTGTGAATTTTAAATTTCCTAAACTTTCAAATTTATTCAATTATCAGGTTTTATTTATTTATTTATTTTTAATATTATTAATAATAGAATTAGTTATTTTTATCTGAATTTATGAATTAAACTTAGTGCTTAATTTTATTACATGTACTATCATATGACTTTTATTCATTTATTTATAATACTCACGTTATATTTATTTTTGTTTCTCTTAATGCAATCATATTGCTTTTCAAGTTGACTATTTTTCTTTAACTTATTCTAAAGAAACTATAAATTCTTAAAATTTGTTTAATTCTTAAAATTCATTTTATCTGTCATAATTTTTGTATGTGTATATATGTACATGTGTTTTTGCATGATAATTTATGTGTAAACGTCTGTGATATTTTAACTGTGATAGTCGGTTGAAGAGCTCTACAGAGCTCATGTTTATTGTTATGTATGTATACAATGCTGACTTTAAATAAAATTTACTTACTTACTTACTTACTTAGGAAAAGTTACTCGAAGGACATATCTAATTACTCTATGGACAATCTGTACAGAAACTTCAATATTTACAATTTAAAAATAAAATATAATGTGTAAAGTTTATCGAAAATAGTATATCAATAATATTTGTATCATCTGATCATATGTTTTACATATAATGTTTTATACCTGCTACAAATTCATTCAATAAATGATATGTATAACACAAAGGACAAATTTGGTAACTCTATTGACGTCAAAATGACGAAACATTTTCATTATTAATATACTCTTGTAGTTATATTGCTTCAGCGGTAGAGTAGAGAGAATTATTTGTTTTGAGTAAATTGAAATATCAAAATTTCTTATGAAATACATCTTTATCCCTTTTTAACCCTATAATACTTAACTATGGTAACATTTTAGACAAATTCAGTTACACAAGGGACACGACAAGCATTTAAGATAGAAAAATGAAATAAAAATACCACGTATGAAGTCGTAATTGTCTTCAATGTATAAAAGAAAACAATTGTGGGGAGATGGTACAATCTGAGTTACATTAAATATAATGAAGTCCTTAAAAATGAGATGGTTAAAGTGGTAACTCCAGGGAAGTATAGAAACACAAGGGATTAAAATAAAAATCCAGGATTTTATGATATATGACATTTTTTACTCTAAAACCTGTTGATTCTATGTTATGTTCTCTCGATGAAGATATTGGAAGGACGAAACATTTCAAAAGTTGCAAAAAAAGAGACAGACAGACAAGTGAAAGATCAAAGGAATCCAGACACCTTCAAAGTAACGTCAGATATAGAACATTTGACTATTCTAGCATGGAATGTGTATGTCCGACGATGAAATAGAACTTTACGAATTTTTCATCACTATCAAAAGCGATATCAAAAGATCATATTTCAGAGGAACAATGCATCTGTCACCAATCATGAATTTTTGTTTGAATGTAGATGAAGATACTCTTCATGCAGATTTGTCTAATTGATAATCCCCATAAAGGTTGGAAATTGTTTGTAAACCTTACACTATAGAAGTATAAATAAAATAAATAATAAAATAAAATAAATAAAACTTTTGGAATGAAGTCAGAGCGCTGAAGTAAGAGTTGACATTATAGTAGAGGCAGTACTTAATATGGATCTCCATCTTTCCCAGCATATCTTGAAATTTATTTCAACCAACAAATAGGCATTAGGCAAAGGTATTTTCTTTACGCAGCTGATCAACACTTAACATAAAATCAAATAATTTATAAAAAAGGAAGGGCAGACAAAAGAGTACATATGAAGAGAAATTAGAGCAACCAGAGTTCCTGAAAAAAATGAATAAAAATACTGAAAACACTGAGACCCTGGAAAAGAAACCAGATAAAAATGCTGAAACACTGGAAAAGAGACAATCAGAACTTCATGTATGATCAAAGCAGTAATGAAGATAAAAAAAACTAAATTTGACCAAAAACTGTAAAAGATGAATATTAGAACAACATAGGTGACGTTTTGGTTATAATTCGTCCTCCACATTCTGTAGGTAGGAAATATTAAATAGATAACCCAGTGTGGAAGGAGGCCGTATGTAAAACAAAACAAATAAAGTGAGATGTCTTTTGTGTTATCTTTTGTCTTTGGTGTTACAACTTCTTTTTTGACATACAAATACTTGTACATGCACCGATCAATGATTCTAGGTCCTATGTTAGTAATCCTGCATTATTCATGCATAACTTATTTTTATTTTTTGTTGATGTTTGCGTATCTTTATAATTGGACAATTATGTCTATGTTGTTACTTTTTAATCATTGATGTTACTAGTCGGACTCCAAATGTGAAAAAGAAATGAAATCTCAAGCAATTTTGTTCTTAAAATCATATACTTTCATTAACATCTATTAGATAATGCCATTGTTGTGCTTTTTGCGGGGGAAGGGGAACAAATTTATTATTTAATCTTAAGGTTTGAACAAAACGTCTTTTGTGTTACTTTTATGTCCTTTGTGTTATGAATATGTCCTTGGTGTAACTCAACCATTTTTCCTGAATTTATTTTCTAAATCTTTCTACAATTTTATCAAAACTTGCTATACAATCCTGTTGTCTTCTAATACAAAGTATATTCACAAAGCCAGTGTTTCATGCTGAGGTAAAATGACATATGCTTAAGATATATATGTAAGAATAATCAAATTTCATAATTTTAACAACTTTCAGCTTCATGTCATCTGAAATCTCTTTCTTAAGAACCCTTAATTTGTTTTGATAGAATATTTTTGATCAAGATGTTGAGATGATGATTCTAGAAACCTTAATTTTTTGTTAGTTGTTATTTTATTGCGATTTCTACGTAAGTAACACCATGGACGTTTATTGCTGGATGCACCTACTTAAAATGGATTTTATAGAAAATGTTGATAGAATTCTTAGTGTTTCAACATTTTTTACGCATCTCTGATGTTTCATTACTAACATAAAACTTTAAAGTATTTAGTTCTCATGATTTATTTTCTCTAAATTCTCTTGATGGAATCTGGACAAAATTTGAGAATGACCCTTATATTTTTACAATGTAACCTTTTGATTAATATTTATTCTTCCACCAAACAATCCTGTTTAATATTTTTAGAAAATAAAAGGGGGGGGGGTAATACATGTTCACATTGTACAATTACAAGTAAACTTGTACATATTTACAATAAATTTATGTGATTAAAAAACAAATACTTTCAATTTTGTCTACATGATGCAAAGAAATTGGCGCCTAAGAAAAAATTCCAACACACAAAAGTCTGAAATCGTACTCAGGGTTTTTTGTGATTTGGATATTTTACATGCTAGGAAATCCAATAACATAAAATAATATTTATACCATAAATATTTTTTTAGCTTTAGGTGTATGCTAGTTTGCTAGTAGTTCTGCGTCATATTAGACGAGAATTAAGACATGCGCAGATCTCGCAGGGGACAAGAACAACCCCTCCCCAATCCCCCAATACACACAATTAATTTATATATGTATAATAAAGTAACCAATATGACCGTGGAGCGCCATTAGAAAATAAGTACACTGTACGAGGGTTGTTAGAAAAGTTCGCAGACACATTGAATTACAGAAAATCTATTGTTTACTGTGAAGTATGACCTGTGACTGAATGAATTCCAACATTTTG